TTGTAATCATTTAAATTGTGATATTTTTCTATGATTTTTTAATTTGTACTAATTTATAATTTGTTTATCATATATTTCATTTAAAAAAAACTTGGTATAAATTTGGTAACTTGTCAACTTAAGATTTTACTCGGGCTGGATTCTAATTTAAATTGGCTTGGAGGTCGAACCAATCCATGGATGAGACTTACCTATGTTCCATTCAAGAATATTTTTTTTTAGATATTTGTAACACTATCATATAATTTTTAAAAACTGAACAACATTTTTTTAGAATTGATACGGTGAACTGACAATCCGGATAAGACAACGAGGGAACTCAACGGGGGCATGATATTTAATATATGGGTATGATTATACATCATGATGACAAAATACGGATGATGATGGATGGGCCGAAGAAGAGAGGGAGAGCAAGAGCGAGGTAAAATAAAGGTAATGATTACAATCGGGGTAAAGATGGCAGCGCATCGTACATGATCAAAATGAAATACTTGCAGCTGAGGGAGAGCTGCGCAGCCAAAGCCGCCATTTCCTCTTCCGATTTTTTTTTTTTCCTGTGATGATGAGCATTTCTTATTTATTACTACCAATTACTATATATTCGAAGGATAACCATTTATTAATAATATTGTTACCAGTAAGAGAGAGAGAGAGAGAAATAAACGACATGTAGACAGACAGATGGGGGAAGGAGAGATAGGGACTTGAAAAAGCACTGAATTAAATAAAAATAGAGAAAGAGAAGGAAAAGGAGGTGAGGCGATTCTTAAAAATAGAGAAAGAGAAGGAAAAGGAGGCGAGGCGATTCTAGAGAGAGAGAGTTCCTTGAAAAAAATCCACAAAATTCAGGTATTTATAGGTACCATAAGTGCACTTGAGCCTCTGCAGTGAAGAACTACCCACCACCTATAAGTAAAGGAGATAGCTAGCACCACAAGTTGAAACTTAAAGGGCTCGCCGCACCCTTTTGGATTTCCTTTCTTCACTTGTTAATTTCTTTCGTTATTTATGCCATATCTTAGCTCTTTCGAAGATATTCTCTTTTCTGATCCTTTTTGGTTTCTCTAATTTCGAAGGCCTACCCCCCTAAGCTAGCTTCATATAGCCTTTGCTCTTGAGTCTTTCCTTGCTTATTCCACAAGTTATTCAGTCTGCTTACCTATCCCTTGTCTTCCCCCCCCTTCTCTCTATATATACGTACAATCCCTTTTCCAATCCCAACTGAAGTTGCAGCCTGTGTTGCCCTTTAAGGTTCTCTCTAACCTCGTTTTTTCTCCTCTTGTTGTGTTTAATTTTATTACAAATAGTTACACACGCACACATATATATTATGGGAGAAGAGAGAGTGAATATGATAGTGGTTAGAGAATTTGATCCAAGAACAGATGGATTTGGTGTTGAAGAAGTAGAGAGAAGATGTGAAGTTGGTCCCGGCGGCAAGCTCTCTCTCTTTACCGACCTCTTGGGTGACCCAATTTGCAGGGTCCGCAATTCCCCTGCTTTCCTCATGCTGGTACACACGAACATTAGTACTTGTCCATTTTCTGTGAAATTTGTCCTTAATTTTTTTCCTTCTTACCTGCTAGTTACTACCACTACCTTCGAGAAAACGAGATTGACTAATCATGTGCAACCATGCCATGTAATATTATTAATAGGTGGCCGAGATAGGAGAAGAGATAGTGGGGATGATAAGAGGTTGCATCAAAACCGTTACATGTGGCAAAAAGCTTTCAAGAACTGTGAAAAACAGCTACTCCTACAATGTCATCAGTAATAATGACCTTTCCAAACCCGTCCCTGTTTACACCAAAGTTGCTTACATTTTAGGCCTTCGTGTCTCTCCTTCACACCGGTAAGTACTCCTAGCCTGCATATTCATCTTAGTACACCACTGTTTTTTCTAATTATTTTCTTTTTCCCTGAAATATCCCAATCAAGAAATGACCCCATATCCTCACATCTACTTGTAATTCCAAACGAATCAACTTTGATGCTAATGCTATGTTTTGTTCTTTTGCATTTTGTCGTCAACTTGATCGGATTGAAGAGATGGATTTACTTTACGTTATGAAAAGAAAGTTGTACAAAAAAAATGCTGATTTTCGTTCCCCTATACAGTGAAAGACCGGCTGTAATTAATTATTATAATTAAATGACATATCCCCTCTAATTATTGGGTCGAACCATTTTAATATTATTATTAAGACATAGTAACATCTCTTGTAACATCTCTTATGTTTTGTCTTCAATGCTCAATAATAATGATGATGCTAATTAATATTAATAATTGTATCCTTTTCATTTAATTTAATCCAATCTTTTTCTCAGGAGGATGGGCATAGGCCTAAAATTGGTACATCAAATGGAAGCTTGGTTTCGTCAAAACGGCGCTGAATATTCCTACATAGCAACTGAAAACGACAACCACGCTTCCGTTAAGCTCTTCACCGACAAATGCGGCTACTCCAAGTTCCGTACTCCCTCAATCCTAGTCAACCCGGTCTTCGCTCACCGGGTCCCTGTATCAAACCGTGTAACAATCATCAAACTCACCCCGTACGACGCCGAGTTGCTGTACCGACGACGATTCGCCACCACCGAGTTCTTCCCTCGGGACATCGACTCCGTCCTCAAGAACAAGCTGAATGTGGGGAATTTCTTGGCCGTGCCACGTGGCAGTTTAAACTCCGGATTGTGGGCCGGGTCGGAAAACTTTCTATCCGACCCGCCGGAGTCGTGGGCTGTGCTCAGCGTGTGGAACTGCAAGGATGTTTTCAGGCTTGAAGTGCGTGGCGCGTCGCGCGTGAAGCGGACATTTGCTAAAACAACGAGAGTTGTCGACAAGGCGTTGCCATTCTTGAGGTTGCCTTCGGTGCCTGCGGTGTTTAGGCCCTTCGGGTTGTATTTTATGTATGGTTTGGGGGGTGAAGGACCACGCGCAGCTAAAATGACGAAAGCGTTGTGTGGTCACGTGCATAACTTGGCTAAAGAGAGTGGATGTGGAGTGGTGGTTACTGAGGTAGCAAATCGCGAACCGCTTAAGTTAGGAATACCGCACTGGAAAATGCTATCGTGCGCAGAGGATTTGTGGTGTATTAAGAGGCTCGGGGAGGACTATAGCGACGGGTCTGTTGGTGACTGGACTAAATCACCACCCGGCTTGTCAATTTTTGTTGACCCTAGAGAGTTCTAAACACTTTCGCAGTAGAAAAAGAAAGAAAACTCTTTACACGGAAATCAAATGTTTTTTTTTTTTTAGAAATTTTTTTTGTAGTGTCTTAGTAGGGTCTTCGATCGTGGAGAATTTTCGGGGATGGAAAAAAAGGGAATGAGAAGATATGGGGTTCTGTTGTAAAAAACGGGGAATATCCTCACTTTCAATAATCCTCTCAACTTTTGTAAATGGATGTGGCTTTTTAGATCCTCTCTCAGCCAAACACAGCATAAGTTTCTTGTGGGGATAATATGGTAATCTTATTCGTCAATCAACTTTTATTTATTTATATATATACACATATATTCGAAAGCCTGCTAGGTGGTTCGTTGATGAAATTGAGATGAGAAAAAATCATGTGTGAATCGGAATAAACCACTCACAGGTGAGTGCATGCAAGAACTTTTTGGCCGTATCATTTGCATGCCTTTTTCTTGATTATATACCTCATCTAATTATCTTGATGATCTTTTCCTTTGTTAATTGGGTTCGTAGTATCTTTCTAATTAGGGTCAGTAGACGGCAAATAACAAGGCCTGTCCTCGGGCACACTGGACCACCTATGTCCTAATGAGGGGCATGGTTGTCTTTGGCCTGTCCGAATTATATATTCATATGACAAGATATATGGTCATAATGGGCAACTTTTATGGGTGAACTTAAATTTGGTGGTGCAGGGGTATATTTTTGCTTTTTATTTATTTAATTATTATATATACGATTGAAATTGACGGGAGATTTGGCTTTTAGCTGCTGTGGGTTTGCCTTCTTTTGCAATGGGGGCGAGATGTGATAGTACGAGTGGGTATGAGGTATTTTCTTCCCCGTCTTTACCTCCATAGGGGCCCCTTCTCTTTTTTCCTCGTTTTGGTGGCTTTAGTTTGGAACCATGGCGTATGGTCCATACAGGAGGTTCCGAGGCTGTGGCGTTTTTTAATCCAACCCAAAACATTATGATATATATATATCTCCCCTAAAGAAATGTGGGTGCCTTAATCACGTCTTCATCGTCCATTCTCAATAATATTAATGTAACAGAAGAAAATTCTACGTACTAAAAGCACGGTCCTCAGGCTACACACATGACAAGCACGTCCGTTTCTATCTTTTTATTTTGCTTTCTTCTCTAATTGCTTTTCTAGTCAATGGATTGGGATCATACACTTCTATGATGGGGAATCATCCTATGTTACCAGCAATAAGTTGTCTGGCTTTGACAATTCTATGTATGTGTACATGATTGTGATGATACTGCACGGTGCACATATAAATTAAATGAACAATTGAGCTTAATAATTGTGTAATTATTTCACAGTGTTTCTTCGTTTTTCCTTCAAGATTAAAATAAGAGTAAGGGAAAGGTGCATATATCAAAATTAAAATAGGTTTAACATGCACTAAGTTCGCCTGTTATATATAAAAGGCACCAAGTCAATGCATGACTCACCAACTTCACGGGATTTTGCACTAAAAGTAGGACACGAATTATCATGATCAGACGAGGGATATATATATGGATGAGAAAGAAATTGTTATTACACACCCCCCCCCCCCATTTCCCCCTCCGATTTTTTTTTTTTTCTGTGATGATGAGCATTTCTTATTTATTACTACCAATTACTATATATTCGAAGGATAACCATTTATTAATAATATTGTTACCAGTAAGAGAGAGAGAGAGAGAAATAAACGACATGTAGACAGACAGATGGGGGAAGGAGAGATAGGGACTTGAAAAAGCACTGAATTAAATAAAAATAGAGAAAGAGAAGGAAAAGGAGGTGAGGCGATTCTAGAGAGAGTTTTTTCCTTGAAAAAAATCCACAAAATTCAGGTATTTATAGGTACCATTAGTGCACTTGAGCCTCTGCAGTGAAGAACTACCCACCACCTATAAGTAAAGGAGATAGCTAGCACCACAAGTTGAAACTTAAAGGGCTCGCCGCACCCTTTTGGATTTCCTTTCTTCACTTGTTAATTTCTTTCGTTATTTATGCCATATCTTAGCTCTTTCGAAGATATTCTCTTTTCTGATCCTTTTTGGTTTCTCTAATTTCGAAGGCCTACCCCCCTAAGCTAGCTTCATATAGCCTTTGCTCTTGAGTCTTTCCTTGCTTATTCCACAAGTTATTCAGTCTGCTTACCTATCCCTTGTCTTCCCCCCCCTTCTCTCTATATATACGTACAATCCCTTTTCCAATCCCAACTGAAGTTGCAGCCTCTGTTGCCCTTTAAGGTTCTCTCTAACCTCGTTTTTTCTCCTCTTGTTGTGTTTAATTTTATTACAAATAGTTACACACGCACACATATATATTATGGGAGAAGAGAGAGTGAATATGATAGTGGTTAGAGAATTTGATCCAAGAACAGATGGATTTGGTGTTGAAGAAGTAGAGAGAAGATGTGAAGTTGGTCCCGGCGGCAAGCTCTCTCTCTTTACCGACCTCTTGGGTGACCCAATTTGCAGGGTCCGCAATTCCCCTGCTTTCCTCATGCTGGTACACACGAACATTAGTACTTGTCCATTTTCTGTGAAATTTGTCCTTAATTTTTTTCCTTCTTACCTGCTAGTTACTACCACTACCTTCGAGAAAACGAGATTGACTAATCATGTGCAACCATGCCATGTAATATTATTAATAGGTGGCCGAGATAGGAGAAGAGATAGTGGGGATGATAAGAGGTTGCATCAAAACCGTTACATGTGGCAAAAAGCTTTCAAGAACTGTGAAAAACAGCTACTCCTACAATGTCATCAGTAATAATGACCTTTCCAAACCCGTCCCTGTTTACACCAAAGTTGCTTACATTTTAGGCCTTCGTGTCTCTCCTTCACACCGGTAAGTACTCCTAGCCTGCATATTCATCTTAGTACACCACTGTTTTTTCTAATTATTTTCTTTTTCCCTGAAATATCCCAATCAAGAAATGACCCCATATCCTCACATCTACTTGTAATTCCAAACGAATCAACTTTGATGCTAATGCTATGTTTTGTTCTTTTGCATTTTGTCGTCAACTTGATCGGATTGAAGAGATGGATTTACTTTACGTTATGAAAAGAAAGTTGTACAAAAAAAATGCTGATTTTCGTTCCCCTATACAGTGAAAGACCGGCTGTAATTAATTATTATAATTAAATGACATATCCCCTCTAATTATTGGGTCGAACCATTTTAATATTATTATTAAGACATAGTAACATCTCTTGTAACATCTCTTATGTTTTGTCTTCAATGCTCAATAATAATGATGATGCTAATTAATATTAATAATTGTATCCTTTTCATTTAATTTAATCCAATCTTTTTCTCAGGAGGATGGGCATAGGCCTAAAATTGGTACATCAAATGGAAGCTTGGTTTCGTCAAAACGGCGCTGAATATTCCTACATAGCAACTGAAAACGACAACCACGCTTCCGTTAAGCTCTTCACCGACAAATGCGGCTACTCCAAGTTCCGTACTCCCTCAATCCTAGTCAACCCGGTCTTCGCTCACCGGGTCCCTGTATCAAACCGTGTAACAATCATCAAACTCACCCCGTACGACGCCGAGTTGCTGTACCGACGACGATTCGCCACCACCGAGTTCTTCCCTCGGGACATCGACTCCGTCCTCAAGAACAAGCTGAATGTGGGGAATTTCTTGGCCGTGCCACGTGGCAGTTTAAACTCCGGATTGTGGGTCGGGTCGGAAAACTTTCTATCCGACCCGCCGGAGTCGTGGGCTGTGCTCAGCGTGTGGAACTGCAAGGATGTTTTCAGGCTTGAAGTGCGTGGCGCGTCGCGCGTGAAGCGGACATTTGCTAAAACAACGAGAGTTGTCGACAAGGCGTTGCCATTCTTGAGGTTGCCTTCGGTGCCTGCGGTGTTTAGGCCCTTCGGGTTGTATTTTATGTATGGTTTGGGGGGTGAAGGACCACGCGCAGCTAAAATGACGAAAGCGTTGTGTGGTCACGTGCATAACTTGGCTAAAGAGAGTGGATGTGGAGTGGTGGTTACTGAGGTAGCAAATCGCGAACCGCTTAAGTTAGGAATACCGCACTGGAAAATGCTATCGTGCGCAGAGGATTTGTGGTGTATTAAGAGGCTCGGGGAGGACTATAGCGACGGGTCTGTTGGTGACTGGACTAAATCACCACCCGGCTTGTCAATTTTTGTTGACCCTAGAGAGTTCTAAACACTTTCGCAGTAGAAAAAGAAAGAAAACTCTTTACACGGAAATCAAATGTTTTTTTTTTTTTAGAAATTTTTTTTGTAGTGTCTTAGTAGGGTCTTCGATCGTGGAGAATTTTCGGGGATGGAAAAAAAGGGAATGAGAAGATATGGGGTTCTGTTGTAAAAAACGGGGAATATCCTCACTTTCAATAATCCTCTCAACTTTTGTAAATGGATGTGGCTTTTTAGATCCTCTCTCAGCCAAACACAGCATAAGTTTCTTGTGGGGATAATATGGTAATCTTATTCGTCAATCAACTTTTATTTATTTATATATATACACATATATTCGAAAGCCTGCTAGGTGGTTCGTTGATGAAATTGAGATGAGAAAAAATCATGTGTGAATCGGAATAAACCACTCACAGGTGAGTGCATGCAAGAACTTTTTGGCCGTATCATTTGCATGCCTTTTTCTTGATTATATACCTCATCTAGTTATCTTGATGATCTTTTACTTTGTTAATTGGGTTCGTAGGATCTTTCTAATTAGGGTCAGTAGACGGCAAATAACAAGGCCTGTCCTCGGGCACACTGGACCACCTATGTCCTAATGAGGGGCATGGTTGTCTTTGGCCTGTCCGAATTATATATTCATATGACAAGATATATGGTCATAATGGGCAACTTTTATGGGTGAACTTAAATTTGGTGGTGCAGGGGTATATTTTTGCTTTTTATTTATTTAATTATTATATATACGATTGAAATTGACGGGAGATTTGGCTTTTAGCTGCTGTGGGTTTGCCTTCTTTTGCAATGGGGGCGAGATGTGATAGTACGAGTGGGTATGAGGTATTTTCTTCCCCGTCTTTACCTCCATAGGGGCCCCTTCTCTTTTTTCCTCGTTTTGGTGGCTTTAGTTTGGAACCATGGCGTATGGTCCATACAGGAGGTTCCGAGGCTGTGGCGTTTTTTAATCCAACCCAAAACATTATGATATATATATATCTCCCCTAAAGAAATGTGGGTGCCTTAATCACGTCTTCATCGTCCATTCTCAATAATATTAATGTAACAGAAGAAAATTCTACGTACTAAAAGCACGGTCCTCAGGCTACACACATGACAAGCACGTCCGTTTCTATCTTTTTATTTTGCTTTCTTCTCTAATTGCTTTTCTAGTCAATGGATTGGGATCATACACTTCTATGATGGGGAATCATCCTATGTTACCAGCAATAAGTTGTCTGGCTTTGACAATTCTATGTATGTGTACATGATTGTGATGATACTGCACGGTGCACATATAAATTAAATGAACAATTGAGCTTAATAATTGTGTAATTATTTCACAGTGTTTCTTCGTTTTTCCTTCAAGATTAAAATAAGAGTAAGGGAAAGGTGCATATATCAAAATTAAAATAGGTTTAACATGCACTAAGTTCGCCTGTTATATATAAAAGGCACCAAGTCAATGCATGACTCACCAACTTCACGGGATTTTGCACTAAAAGTAGGACACGAATTATCATGATCAGACGAGGGATATATATATGGATGAGAAAGAAATTGTTATTACTGAAACTGGTTGAGGAGTGCTCTAAGTATATACGTATTTAGCAAGGGGTAAAGAATTGTAAATGCTTCTATAATTTTTTTTTTGTTTTTACCATTTAATACTTGATTTTTATTTATTTATTTTTCATAAATCATTTCGATTTATCTCAAATAAATGTCCGGAGACTTGATGTCTACAAAGATATTAAGAAAAAGAAGCGCGCCTAAATGTCAATGGTGTTCTTGTCGCCAGTTAATAATTTCTTACAATCAAGAAAACGTACTTAGTGATTTCCAGCTGTTTAGATGAGAAAGGTGAAAACCCATAGATAGAAAAACTAAGGCAGTCCAAATATCCAATCCAATGAGGGATGATGATGATCCTTAGCTCTATCCGACCAACCGAGCTGGACGGACCGTGGTAATTAAGCCGGAAACTGTTTGATTCCAATCTTCACTGGTAACTCATCATGAACTGTCATCTTTAACGGTCTTGGAAAAAACAAAGAGGTCTTGTCATCTTTCAATAATGTCGGGATCCATGTTTCCTATCTATCTCTTTATTGATAACCTTAATCACCCGCCTTTGTATTTTCCTTGTATACACGTCTTTTCACGTCATTCCCAGTTAACTGGTTTGGTAGCATGGAAAGTGGAAATCCATGTAGTACTGGCGAGTTCAGTTCACACTGCTGGCTTTGAAATGATCGATCTATGCCGTTTGGCTAGCTGTTGTGAATTAGGCTAGGCTGATAGGTGTGAAAGTGGATGATGTTAGTCAAGTTTTGACTAGCTAGGGTTGTCCTGATCTCTATGTATTTCATGCAAAACCTAATTAATGTCATCAATTTATGGAAGGAAGCTCGCCCTGCTGCTCGCCCATGAAGCACGTTGAGCTTCCAAGGAAATAGTGTCTCCTTTCAAGAAGATATATATCTATATATATATATATATATATATATTAAAAGAATAATTTCAAGTTTGGAAAAGACAACAGCCCTTGTTGTTCTGGTCATTCTTTGAGGGATATATATTGACCTGAACATATATAAGTGGATTAGGTAAAAGCAATGGTAGGAGAGGTATCATTAGTCGTCAATAAGATTCGGTCGGCCTTTGGCTTCTTTACCTTTGCTAGTCTTCTTAGCAAGTCGTCGATGACTAAAGTGATCTATCTTCTTAACACAGACTTTAGGAGTTAGGACTAAAGTTCAGTTGGAAATTACTGAATAATAATTAGAACAAAGATGTTAGGCAGTTTATGATATGCAGCATTACATAATTATTATATCGACAGATTAGAGAAAATGTTATTAAAAGTATTTTTCTATCTAATCTATTTGGACTTGTTCTTTTAGAATCTAAATAAAGATAGATAACATGGAAAGAAACGACAACAATTTTAACCTATGTTTACTAATTAATGCCCTTTAGCATGGATCATGAATGCTTTGTTTCTATAAAAAAAATAAAAAATTAAAAAAGAAGAATAACATCTCTATTCATAAGTAGTTAATTTATGCAAAAGCCTTAACCACATTGATTAATTTGAATGAATTGGAGTTGCCACACACACATATAATGGTCGATTTTAGTTCACTATTTTAAAGTCCAATTCGATGGCTTGGCCAATTAACCTTTAACTAAGATGATTTAAGATCTAAACTAATCTAATTTTAAATAATAATTAGAGGAGAATTGTATCAGTATATATCTGATTAAAAAACTTAATTAAAACTTGGTTAAAATCTATTTAATTTTTTTATCTTTTTAAAATAAAAATTTAGAATGATTTATAATCAGCTCATCTTATCTTATTCATGACTTATCTTAATTGAACTTTCAGGTTAGATTTAAAAGCTATCTTATAGGTAGGTTGAAGAAGTTGGGTAGATAGTTGAAAGAGAAAATGCCATAAACCGTTCATTTACACCAATTAATATTAATTTTGTTAATTGTTATTTTTTGCATGTATGTTATTGTTTTTCATTTTAATAATGAAATAAAAGTCCATAAAAAAAAATACAAGATGCCAATAATTACTAAAACAATAAAACTAGCAAGTGGGCTCCTATTTTGTTGCGGATTCATTTACAAAACTTTGTGTCATTTTAAATTAGCTCAAATCAATGTTTATGTGAATTTGAATAAATTTTAACAAATATTGATGTTATTATAAAAAGTAAATTAATTATAAATTAAATTTATAAATTATTATTTAGTTTTATTTTCAATTTTATTTTCAATTTTTTAATATTTATTTGAGGAGAAATTGAAATTAGTTTAATTAACATAAATCTTCTTGTGTTGTTGGAATCCATTTAAAGAATATATTTTAAATCTTTAATCACCCATGTTAATTTAAAATAAAATAAAATTTAATGGAATTGATTAAAATATTACTAAGTAAATCACAACATAAAAACAGTGAAAACTAACAAAATGTTTTCGTTGGTAATTTTTACCAATAGCAATAATTCCGTCTCCAATTCTATCGGTTTATACTGATAAACAATACCTGTTGGTGATATAGTTGATATATACCAATGAATTATATTCGTCGGTATGTATCGACTGTATCATTGACAGATTATTTAGTTTTTTTAGAAAGTTGTAATGGTGTGATGAAATGGATTTTTTCAGATGATTTTATCAACGGACTAACCAAGAGATTCAAACCGAGATCTCCATGCAGTAACATGGCACGTTCACCAGTAGAATCATCGATGGACGACTAGATAGAAAGTTTTCGTCGGTGATTCCATTGGTAAAAGTCAATATATACCTATTCTGCCAACACTTTCTTACTCTATTTCTCCTTCTTCCCCATCCCACCTCCCTCCTCCCAAACTGCAACCAATCATCCATCCCAGCTTTCTCCCTCTTCTCAACACAAGCACTCAAGTTTCTTATACTTTTGTATATGGTCACAACATTCGTTCTTATGAATTTTATCATTTTTTTTTTGTAGTTTTAACATTTAGATGTGAATTTTATTATTTTTTTTAGTATAGGTATTTTGTTAACGTATGTACTTGTTTAATTGTTATTTGTCAAAGAAACTTGTAGTATAAACGTATAAGTTTTATAGTTGTTATAGTTTGTTTTAGATTTTGTCAAATTATATTTATTTGTAAACTGTTAAAACTTTATGTGAATTACAACAAATTAGATTTATTGAGATGAAATAAATAATAGCTTATGTAACGGGTTTGTTTTAATTTTTATCAATTATATTGCAAAGTTGTGATTTTCATATATATATATTTGTATGGACATTGACAATTGATAATAAATATTTAACATAAGTTTTTTTTTTAATTTGTTGGATAATATCGGGCAAATCAATATTTTTTTTATGTTTATTTACGTAATATAGTTAATTAATACATGTTGTCGTCATAATTTTATAGAAGTTTGATAAAAGTCATGGATGTATCGAGACTCATCTCAAGGGTTGCGGAGGATAGATTATTGTAACGGGGTTTAGGGTTTTACTAATTTCGCAACATCCTGAGGAATTTTACTGATGGTGGTATTAGGTGTCCATACAGGAATTATAAAAATAAAAAGTTTTTGCATCAAGATGTTATAACGATGCATCTTCTAACCAAAGGGTTCATGGATGATTACTTATATTGGTATGTGATTAGTACTTAAAAGTGCATTTTTATCAAGATTTTATATCGT